TATTGCAAATCAGAAAAAACTCAGAGAAGCCAAAACTTTGATGGCAGTGGATGATGGAAGGCAGTAGCTGGAAACTACAGAGAATGTGCCTTAGAAAACCTGGTGGGAGTTCAGATCCTGACCATGTGTTTATAGGTTTCTTTCTATTTTATTTCTATACTAAGAAATGCTGTACTTCTGAAGTGAATCAATCATATGAGTTTAAATTTTATAAGCAGATATTTGGGTGAATGTTTCAGCTTTCAAACATAGGCTGCAGGACTGGAAACATTTTGAAGTAAGAACAAATGAAGGGCTGAGAGCTTTTTTGTTTATTCTAGTCACTGTTAGCAGCCTGCATGACACCACTGTGTTTGCCACCCTCAGTCTCCAGCACAGATGCAGAGGAAGGGGGATTTCCAGTTGACCAGGCATGTTGCAGCCCTCCCTTACTGCCAACCTCCCCCAGTTGCACGAGGAGCTGAAATAGTGAGACAAGCTTCAAATGCCACATGATGGAAGTTGTTAGCAGATGAGCAAGTGTGCTGGCAAACCTTGTTAACACTATTAATTCAAATTGGAAATGTGACTGACCTATGTCCTGTGTCCTTTACACTCAGAATGAGTATAAAGCTCGCTCAGGTAAATTAATCCAAAGAAATGTCACTAAGAAAGAGCAAAGCATTATCAAAAAGAGGACTTAAAACCTTGAAAATGTGTGCAATTATTAAATAAAAATTTAAAAATCCTCATTATGTGCTCTTATTTGAAAATGTAGTAGGATTACTAATAGCTGATAAACTATATGAGAGTGTGGCCTTGAATGTATTGTGGCATCAAATGTTAACAGGTTGATCTATGAAGTTGCTGCCAGTGTATTGATTTTATCCTTATACTATACATTTTAAAATTTACATTATAATATTTTCCTCCTGTTTTCCTCCTACATCTTTCCATGTCACTGTGATATTCTAGATTCCTTTCCAGGTCTATTCCTTTTTTCCCCACCTTCTGTTTTGTGCTGCAAACCTTTCAGCTTTTTATCATGTTCTTCCATATGTAAAATACCTTGGTCTCTCTTCTAATCCTCTGAAAAGAGAAGTCTTGTTTTCTGTCTGTACCTAGACAAACTAATTCTTTATACCTTTACTCTTTTAAGATCAATATCCAGACTCACCAGATGAATAACCTCACGCTGGGAAAAAGGTTGAGAAATGATATATTCAAGTTTCACATGCTGTTAATTCAGTTTTCTGAAGATTTTTGAAGTTACTTCATCCTTTTGTTCAACATGTATTTGACTTCTTTGATAGAGACACATTATTGGATTATTAAATCCCATTATATCATTGCTTTATATTATAAAAGATATATAGTTTGAAAAGATTACTAACTAAATACTTTTTTAAGAATCAGTTAAGTAATTATAAACTTTATTTTACATCACATACCAGTGAGTAGGAAATACTTGTATTTTTATTGTGCTTCAAGATGTAATTAAAAAATAACATTAACTCCTGACTAAATATAAATACTTAATGATTACCTAGGATTCTGTGTTTTCCTTTCCTCATTATTTACTGTTGTTCTGTGCTCACATGGTCATTCTTCACGTCTGATCTCCCTTATGATGGCATTTATGTTCCCCAGAAGATCTTATGGATTTTAAGAAATTTTAGTGGCTCTTTAAAGAAAGCCTCAAAAACATTGTTTCTGTTTCATTGCATAGATCTTAGGAATTTTTTTTTTTTTTTTTGCAAAACTCTTTGCTGTCCTTTCTAGTCAATTTTCTGAGACACATGGAAAATGCTGACAGCATGGAAGCAGCTTTGTGTTTTTCAATAAAATCATGACTACTTTTGTTCTGTTCCAGGAAACAGCTAGAACACTACTCTGAATCTTGCTTTTAAGAGTCCTAGGAGCTCTAACCTTCCTTCTGTTTAGTATAATGCAGATAAAAAATGTGAAAATGAAATTACAAGCTCGCAGAACACTTTGTAGTCTTGATAGTGAACTAAGTATCTTTTCATCTCAATGAAGTTTTATTTTGTAAACTTGGAAATGAAGTTTCTTTTAGAATTTGGAAAACCACTGCAAATTCATAGAATATCATGTAGTGGAAAAAGAGGGGAAAGCATGAAAATACTAATGGAGAATCAATAGAACACCAGTATTTTTAACCTCAACAACAAAATAGTCAGTCAGGATACTTAGAGCACTTCATCACTTGTACAAAATTTTTTGCCTCCAGAGTTCTTGCTGTTTTATTAATGAATAGTTATAAATCTTTTTAAGAACTGAAAACTATTAGACCAGATAAAAGCATTTTATTATTGTTATTGTTCACTTGAAAAGCTAATTAAAGGCATCAGAACAAAATAATTTGCTTCAGATTGCTGGTTAAATGTCTTTTGTGCATTAATCATTGTAATAAAAATACATTAAAATATATTGCTTTGCCAACAAAGTATATTTCATTCACATGAGTTGAAAATGGCACAGAAAGTTAAGCTTCGTTTGGGGTTTTTAAGGGTTTCATATAATAAGTCATATGCAAATCAAATAGTAGGACAAAAGAGTTTTCTGCCAAAAAAAACTTGTCCAAAAAACTTGGAAAAGGGAGTTTTCTGCCAAAACACTTCAAATCAAGTATCTATCATCAAAATACTTATTCAAGTTACTTTGTAAGTCAAAAGGGAGGGATTTATCTTTCTCAAGTTAAATTTGACATCCTGCTGCTATAGTCGATGAAGTTGATTAATACCTAATTTGGACACTTGCTTTGACTCACCAGGATTGAATGTGTTTAATTTTTTATTGATTACAGAAATTTATCGATTACAAAAATAAATTTGCATTGACCAATGGCTGATTAGAGCTGGGGCTTTATCCTAAACAAAAATTCAGGTGTATGAAATGTCTGATGCTTCTATCTGTTCTGGAAAAGCTGCTTCACTGTAAGGTTTATATGGGGTTTTAAATTGCAGACTATGTGATTATTGATAGTTTACTAAAAAAAGATACAACTTGTATGTAATTCTGAGTTGTACTTTTGAAGGTAATTTACATATTTGTTATTGTTATCTGACTTGATGTAAAGAAAATGTAATTCTGCAAATAAGCAAAGTATTATTTCTTTATTGTAAGACTGAGAGATGTTTTTGACTTAGCCTAGATTAAATACAATGCAATGCCTTCCCTTCACATTACACATGACTCAAGTGAATCTAGTTTGCAGTGTTTTTGAAGTGAAATTCAGTTCAGTAACTCTCTGGTCCCAAAATATTGAAGATTAAATTTCAATGGAGATAGAAAAGAAACTAGAAAAATACTAGACACAATCCTCTGAAAAATTATGTTGTACTGAAAAAGTGTCTTGAAATTTTTATGGTTTCCTTCCTTACTTTTATACAGTTTTGCCTATTTAGAAATATTCCATGCTAGCATGACTTTTTTTTTTTTTCACATAAGAAAGTAATGCTGAACTCCAATGTGAAATCTTTTTAGTTTTCTGTAAGACTGGCAAACTCACAGAAGACCCTGGATTAGGTGTTTTCAGGACTATCTTGATTCTGCCTTTGCTTGAGTGAAAACCAAAAAGGATATTTTATTGACTCTTTTTTGTGGGTACTTTTTTATGGGTACTTAGGTGCATATTGGGCTAGGAAAGACAAGGACAGAAATATTCTTCAGTATGGTTTTCTATTAGGTTTTTAAAAAATGTTACTTCATCTTAGAATATGTTCAGATGCCAGTATATACAGTGACTACTGACATATCATGAACTACAAATTTTATGAAGTTACATGTTTTTAACTGAGAGTGTTGCTTTGTTTGAAATTTAATCCGTGTGTTGTCCTTTATTCCATTCATGGTTGATGTAACACTTGCCAGTTCAAGACAGTTCAGTGAAAGGCTGCTATTTTTCAATTTCATCTTAGCACAAGTGTGTTCTATTTGATTTCACCATGTATAACAAAAAATAACAGAATATATTGACTAGAGTGTACAAGTCAAGTTCATGTTCTTGACTCCATGTTCAACACAAGCTTGAGGTGAAAACAAGATGAAGTTACAGGAAAAATATAGCTCCCAGTGGAGCCACAGCTGAGTGTTTTCTGAGCAAAATATATACCTTTTTCTTAGAGTAAATATTTGCAAACATTATGAATTTTTCAAACATTAGCCTAAATTAATAAATGGTAGTATCATTTTAGGCAATCCATTTTGTCTTTCAGTTCAAAACGTTGGATGTGTTTATGCTTGCTCTTTCCACAGTTACTCAGTTCATATTTGCTACAAATATGAAAAAAGAAACAAAGTGACTTGGTTTTCAAAAAAGTCCTTTTTGTGGAAAAACCTTTATGTTGTAGATCCTTTATTTTCCTTCCTGTAAATGAAGTAAGGAAGAAAAAAGTATATCTATATGTATTTCATAATTTGTGTCACTGCTATATTCCTGATGATCTATGCAAATCTGACTGACACCGACCATCTATGCTAATTGGGCTGAAATAAAAATAGTTAAATGCAACATGCATGCAGACTTACACCATACAATAGATATAATTAAATGAATATAAAATCTAGACCTCATGTAGAGGATATTCAAAAATCTATAAAATTGATATATTTGAATCTGGATATATGGTATATCTGATAATACATTATATTACCACTACCTAAATGTACTAATTATAAATGATCTGTAGTTATAAAGTCAACAGACAGAGTAGGAAAAAACCCAAAAAAGTATTTTTTGTAAATGTTCATATCTTAGACAGATAGTAGCCTACGGTTGTTACAGCACAAATTTTTTAGACAAGCAATAAAAGGAAAAAGATGGGCTGCTTTCAACAGTTGTAGGTTATGATTTTTAAATTTATGGATTTATGATTTTATGGATTATGATTTTTAAACAATTGGTATGTGATCAACAGTGACTTTTTTTGTATTAGCTTCTAGTGTCTTTGGTTTTGTTTTGTTTTGTTTTGTTTTGTTTTAATTTGGATCATTACTGTTTTTTGAAGTGAATTCATGCAATGTGTGCACTTGTTAGGGTTTGGTTAACATCAGTGAAACATCAGTGAGTGGTCTTGGCATGTACAAACTGTTTTCCTTTCAGATGAAGCTGAATTGAGAAATGCACTGCAGGAGTACAGTGTATATACTTCAACGTGTAGTGATCAACCTTCAGGTGGAACCAATTTAGGACTAGTCAAGGCCTTAACCTCTGAAATGTGTGTTGTACCATAGCTGTCCAACTCCAAAGTTCTGGGGTTTTTTAAGCATTGCAGTACTTGCTAGATGGTGTGAATTGGAAAAAGATTTTTTTTTTGGTGGTTGGTGGTTTTTTTTGGGGTTTTTTTGAGACAGGATCTCTTCCTCCAGGCTTTGTCTTTTTCCTGTGGAGCATGGCTTTCATGGGATTTTTCAGTTCAGGAACTCAGAACTTCATTACTCAATGTTGAAAAAACTTATTGAAGTATGAATGTAGTTGTTTTGGCAGAAGACATTAAATCTAGCAAAACTTGATTTCTTTTTTCCAGGAAAGAACAGTAACAATTAGAAGACAGACTGTAGGAGGATTTGGATTAAGTATAAAGGTATGATGCTATTTTGGGTCTATTTATTGCATTTTGCATAAAGTATGTCTTTGTATATAATCTATGTTACTGTTAGTGAGTCCAAACTATTTTAGAGGACTAGAAACAAGACAGGAAACATATTCTTGTATGTTAGATACTGTTACAGCAGGCAACCATAACTGTGCTGCCCCATGGAATGGAAGGTAATCATTCCCTTACAGTTCAAGCTGACCAACTCTGTAATAAGGTTTGACATAAGAGTTGTGAAGTGTTTTCAATTGTGTAGACTGTACTTGTGTTCAGCTTCTCTCTAATTTAAATAGTTATTAATGAATGCTAAATTACAGTGGCAGGCACATGGAACAGCCAATAAATTCATCATCAATTCTGCTACAAAGAATACCACATTAATCCTTTGCAATTCATTAGTGGGACAGAAAGTGTTACTGCGTGCTTGTGTTGTTTAACTTTCTGTAGATCAAGCCCAGAGAGCAATTTATCATGTTACTATGTTCTTGCTTTTGTCAGTAAGTTTTAAGAACGTACACAAGGGTAGGTGATCCTTTTTAGGAGAGGGAGGAAGGGCTAATAGTTTTTGTCATAGTAATATATGATTTTGAAAACCTTACCTTAGCTTTGAGTCTGAGTGTAGACAACACAAGATTAATTTTATCTTCTAAACACAGCAGTTCTCAGTCTCAAGATAGCAATGGAAAAAATGAAGTGTATTTCGCATGCATGCAAAGAGGCCTAAATTATGCATATAAAGTGAAAGTATAGATTTTCCTATGACATCTGCTGGTATTGACTCATAAGAAGGATTAATGTGCGTTTGTGTTGTCATTGATAAGAATATGACTGAATAGAAGTATTAATTTTTAAAAATGTCTTTGTGCTCTTATTGTTATCTTGTTGACCCATGAAGACCTCTGTTCAAGTAAAACTAATTGCTATTTTGTCACCAAAGTTTCTCATCAGTTTGGTCAACAGCATTTACGTTTTTTTTTCCCTCCGGTATCATTATAGGTTACAGTACATTGAATAATGATGAAGTAATGAATGTCAATGTAAAATCAAGTATATGGATAAATGAGGTTTTCTTTAAATGCTGCTAAGAAATAACTGTTTACAGTAATGACTTTAGATGATTGAAGAACACATCTCAAGAGTCAGTAAACTTGATTTTTGCATATACTTTACAATGAGTTATCATTTAGAATTAACATTGCTGACAGTCTCAAGATCACATTATTTAATTATTATGTACATTGCATAAAATATCATTTATAAATATAACTTCAATAGAGAATATGCAATGGTCTTGCTTAAATTAATAGAGTTCAGTTATTCTTAACTTTTTAGAGTAAGATACTTATATTCTGTCATTGTTTTATATCATAGATATTTTGATCAAAATTACCCAAAGTATTAGAAAGGTGAAGAGAAATAAACTTAGGTGTGAATAGACAATTTTAAATTTTTTAAAATAACTAGCAATCAGGTGATGAAATCCCTTCAAAAATATCATTAAAGAGCAAAGAGCTATCTTTAAAATAATGAGACTCAAGCTTGCTTGGATGGCATAGATTAGATCATGAAAATGAAAAGTTTAATTCTGTGGTCCAGGATGTTCTGTCGATAGGTTTCAGGTAGTATGATTTATTACTATAAAATTAATTTTTTTTTAAAAAATCAGTGTTTGTGGAACCTTTTTTGCTAGGTCTCTTTATTAGTAATTTTACATTCTCACAAAGGTGGACAAGCAGTTGGATAGCCAAAACAATCTAAAAATTAATACATTCTATTACTAGAATTTTAAACTAGTTTAAGAAACAACTCAGAACGGGAACTTACAGTATTTGTTTTCAATTTAGTAGGCAAACTTTATTAAGACATGCTGAAACTGACTTTTTATTTATGGCATGAAATGACTTGTCAGTTCCAAATACTCCAAAAGTCCAGTTTTCAGTTTAAAATTCAATCATGGTTTGCTTCTTGCAGATCAATACAAGTTTACTGCTCTGATTTTGTTTTGTTTTGTAGGATTCCTGATCTTTACTAAAAAACTTATATTAAGATTAATTTTAAATAGAAATTTAATTATTTTGAATTTATGCCAGAAAGTAGAGGTCTACAAGTCACCCTAAAGGAGTGAGAAGCACTGAGGCCTCTCCTCCTTGTGCCAATAAATTCATAGCCCCTCGAACTACAGTAGTTTCTGTCATTTTACTACTCTCAGACTAACTAAAAATAGGGGTTATTTGAGAACTTGCTTTCTGGCTGTGATGTATGTCAGAGGATTTTGTTTATCTGAAGTGTTAATTACAACAATACAGTGATTAATGACACTCACTTTAGAATACTTGCTTGGGCTTGGTTATGAATTTGCCTAGTTTCGGTTGTCAGGTCTGGGCCATTATCATGAAGTCACCGTTCAACTTTGTCTTGAATAAATTTTGAAAATATCCCATTGCAAGTATTGTGAACTCTTGGAATTATTCTTTTTCTGAAGAGCAGAGAACAAATTCCTAATAATTCCAAAATTAAACTAATTTTTTTTTTTCACTTCTCTATGAGAGAAACTCTTCTTCTGTAAACTGGGTAATCCAACTATATTTGTAAAAATCAGAGATTCAGATAACTGCTTAAGAAAAACTCTTGATTGTAAAGTTGACTTTTGTCCAAGACTTAAACATCAGCCCTTTAAGAAAGGAATAGCCATGGTCATAGACAGAATTTGGGAAGTGTAATATTTCAATCATTTATCACATCTCTGACAAGTTTGAGAGGCAGAGCCTCGACAAAAGAGGATGCTCAGTGTATGATTTCTGCAAGAACATCCTATTTTTCAATAATTGGACTGTGGTGTTCCTGAATAAATAGGCAACAAAATCGATCATTAAACAAATTGAAGTTTTTGGTTACAGTCTGACTTCTGGCAACCAGTACTCAGTACACTGCCATTATCCTGCCTCAGTTTTGATCATTCTTTTAAAATGGTGAACAGCATCAGAGGTCTTCTGAGATTCAGTTTGACTTTCCAATTTAATCAAAAAGTTCAGTGTCCATAGACCTTAAAGTTATTTTTTTCTAGTGGAAATGCTTCTTTTTGGTATCAGGTCATAGTCCCCTACATTGTCTTAACGCAAATGATGGTAAAGTCCAACAATTGGTCTGATCTTTTATAAGCTCTTTTTTGTAGAAGATAAAAAATTAATTTCCTTGTTATACTTAGAACCAAAATCCCCCAGCCTTTGTCAATAAAAGTTACTGCTTTCAAGTGCACTATTTTTCATATGTCAAAAACTTCTGGAAAAAACCCTCACACATAAAAACTGGGATAAGAAAAAATCTTTAGGAGTGTATCATGTGACACTTTGAAAGGAGGTGTGGGTGACCTCTCACCAGTAGTGGCCAACATTCAGGACAGTGACCTTCAAACAGCTTCCAGTGATTAGAGCTTCCTCTGCCTCTTCTAGCAGGACCACCGCTGCAGGTGGGCATCTGCTGTCATTCCAGGCTTATCCCTGCTTAAGGAAAAATGACAAAGAAAGTTTGCTTGACAAAGATCATTGTTAGAGTCTGGTAGAGGTTTGAGCCATTAAGTCTTGAACATCACTATTTGATGTATTTCTGTCTATCCTGTGGTGTGACGTTATAAGTACATGTCTGTACAGGAGGAAGAGAAAATTTAAAGCAGTGAAAAAGTTGCCTCTGTTCCCAGAGGTTTCTTCAGAAGAGTGTCCCCTGAGACTGTAAAACTGGATTTTAGACATGCATACACATTTTCCTCTACAGGACAGAGAATGAAGTATGGAGAATGCAGGATGCAAGGCTGCAGTGTCAACCTGAAGTAGTATTCAACAAGATGTTGGCAGAATATACACAGTTTGCTACAAATTGCTAACAGTGACTGAGTATAGATAATTGGTCAACTACTTGCTGTTTCCAGTTTTGATTTTTTTGTTTCTTAGCACAGCAGGTACTACATCCTTTTACTAGTTTAAAAAGAAGCCTTCATACAGGTCAGACTCGGATGCAATGAGAGGAGATAATTCTCTTCAGTAGGACACCACTGAAAGCTTCCTCAGATCTGTAGTGTAAATGGGTTTAAGTAGATTCAATACAATGAGAGAGGAATAATCATGTTGTGTGCATTGCAGGCTGGCTTAGTAATAAAAGTAATTTCCTACTTTAATGGAGTCTCAGATCTAAGGAGGCAGGGAGGCTGTTTTAAACCTCACACTTCTTTGCTGGGCTTTAAGTATCCTGGGTAGTGTAACATGTATATAACATTGGAAGCTTAGGAGGAAAGTGACACAGTTATTTTTCTGGTTGTTTGAAAAGTTTTGAAGAAATTAAATTTGCATGTGACTAGAAATTTTGGAGGATATAGGTTAAAACTTATTAATTTAGTGATCTTGAACTCATTATCTGCAGTGAAGCCAGCTTTTACTGTTGCTATTCTTCTGGTAAAAACTATTGAAAGATATTCAACAAGCTATAATACTGATATGTTCCATTCTTGTCAACACTCATCTCATGCAATGTGAGAACTTTACTTGTAGACATATAATTGTTGTCATATTACTGAGATCCCTCTTAGCTCATTGTTTTTAGGGCCATTTGCATTGATACCACTAGCAAAAGGAATATTTTTCCTATTTAACATTCTGTGGCTACAAAGGAAATTAATCTTTATTCCATGACAGAAAGAGGTGTTGAGTGCAGGAGTCTGGTTTCAAATGCTTTGATATTGCATGAAGAAGGGATGTATGCTGTTCCTTAGGGATTGAAATACCTTTGTCAGTCCTTTTCACATCTTAACAGAGTAAAAATAATTTCCAAAGTAATATCTGTCTGCTGAAAAGAAGAGTAAGCAAACCCTTAACCTGTCCATTCCTAGGTAAAACAACAGTGTGGCAGACATTGGTTTCTGGTGACCTGAATTTGTACACCTTGCATTTGAGTGTATGCTTTGATGCTCTTTTTAGAGGAAAAGGTATTTGTGTCTCTCTGTATATTTGCCTTTACTTTCCTTTGAATTTCCTTTTCATTTAAGGTTTTTTTTTTTTTTTTTTTTTTTTTTTTTTTTTTTTTTTACTTTGTTCTTAAGCACCATAAATATTTCCAGTCCCAACAGGATAAATTGAATGAAGCAACAGCACTGAATTGTTGTCGACTGTTGAAACTATCATCTGGTTTTCCTTTATTTCTCCCCGTTTATTGAACACCTACTGTTCCATTTCTTAATGCTTCTTTTTTCTGTTCCTTATTACTTATGCCACTGCTTTCCTCACTCTTTGTGCTTGTGTGACAGACAGAAAAAAATAAAGGCTGCTTTTGACATGAAAAATCCAAACCTTCTCTCTTGTGCTTTTGTTTACCTCCTTCTTGCCAGCGTGAAAACTAAGTGTTCACAGTGTGATTGCCATTATAGTTGGATGCCCATTCTGCTTTTACAGGACACATTTCAAACATTAGGCTCTCCAGAATTCAAAGAAACTGATGTCCTTTGAGTGTGGTAGAGTTCTGAATTCACTTCCTGAGCTAATGATGGCAACTGAGAACTTATTTATGTGAGACAGTAAGGAATTAATCACAGTATATTCATTAAAAAAAAAGAGGAAGTGCAGAATCAGTTATTTGCTCAGTCTCTCTAAAAACTGCATTTAGAGAAAGGGTAAAATATAACTTTAGGTAAAAAGATATTTTTAGTGACTGACAAATATTGCCATTTATTTTGTTTTCAGGGTGGAGCAGAACATAATATTCCAGTGGTCATTTCTAAGATTTCCAAAGAACAAAGAGGTGGGTATTAGTTATCATCTTATTATACTGTACTTTAATGTTCCCTTTAAAGAAAGATGTATTAAATCTTGACATTCTTCAGTCAGTGTTAAACAAATGCTATTGTTGAACCCTTTCTCTCCCATGTCTTTAGATCTCTCTCTTCCTCAGAAATTTTTTCTGAAAAAGTACAGAAACTTTTATAAAATATAAATAGGAAAGTAATAGGAAAGTATTTGAAAATAAATAGAAAGTATAGGAAAGAAATAGGAAAGTATGAATAAAATGAAAATATTTCATAAATTTAACAAAAGGCAATGATTTAGTGGCTTTGACTTCCCGGAAGTTATTGTCTGAAAGCTGTAGTAGATTAAACGTTTGGCTCTTAAATCATGGTAACACAGCAGGAGAATGCATGACTTTTTAACCTGGTTACTCTGGTAGTATTGAGAGTACTTTGACTACTGCATAAAGTCTTGGCCATACATTTTTTAATAGTAACAGAGCTGGTGCTGAATTTCTGTATTAATTTAACTGGCAAGATTTTGAAATTATTGGAATGATACATGGATAATAGTTAAACAGCTCAAGATGTGCACAAGTATGAAGGAGGAAGGTTGTGAACCAGTACTAATATGGTGTATTTAATATCTTTGTTAAGTTTGCATGTATTTCTGTAAGGCCAGAAATGCAAACTTGGAAATATTTCCCTCCATCTGTAATGCAATAATTCTAGAATTCAGCTTCTCCTCAACTAAAATGTGCCAGTATATAAAAAAAAAATCTCTTACTCACCCATTCAGATAGAGATGTATGGAAGAATCAGCATATTGAGAGCCAAAAGCCAATCCTGAAAGGTAGATGTGAAAGTTGGGAGTTGGGGAGAATAAAGAGTAGCATGGAATGAACCCCTAAGGCAGGCAATAAGGTTAACCTTAAGAATTTATACTTATGATTACAGTCTTTTCAGTATACATGTAACTAATACATAAAGATGTGGCATATATTACATGCAGTAGCTATTAAAATGCTATTAAGCACTGCAGGAAAAATAAGAAAGATATACTTAAGTTTAATTGAGCACACTGAAGTGCAATTTTATTTCTGTCATTAGTTTTTTTGCTGCAGTAGCTGTTGCATTGTTTTTAGCCCAATACCTAGCTGTGATATAATTTTCATTACTGCTTTCAATAAAAATACTGCTGATTTTTGCAGAACTAGCTTTGAGGACATCTCTTTTGTAAGAGACTGCTGTCTTGAGATGTAGAAAATGTCATGCTGTGTTCCCGGACTAGAGAACTTGGATCGAGAAAATGCTGTTTTACCCAAAGCCTATGCCTCAAAGTAAATCACAATATCTGTCCTGCACTAATTTAACCATCTGTTGTTAAATATAGCTAATAGGACCATTCCATCAAACAAGAACTTGAGTACCATAATTTACATCAATATTAATTCCAGTTTTACAGCTCATGTAAAGTTTTTGGATCAAGTTCAGTGCTAGCTTTTTTCAGACAGTATCTTCTATGTTGATATGGAATAGATTTAGGTAATAATTGCATGTCATCTGTTAATATCCCTTAGCATGGTCTCAAAGATTATTAATGCCTTTACAGCAAATAATCTTTGTTATATTTCTGGTATGCTTATAAGGTGTATTTGAGTGAGATAACTCTGAAATGAAACACAGTGTTTAAAAATAGGAAGTGTAGAATTAGATTTTATAAATGTCTTTGTGATGCAGTTTTGTTTTAAAAATCACATTCAGTTTGGCTGTTGATTTTTTTACAATATTGATTTTCTAGCTCTTCAGTATATGTAAGTGTTATCCAGAATTAATAGTCCCTGTTATTTATCAGAGTTTATCAAAGATGCAAGATCTAAAGGGTCCTTTATCTTAGGTAAAAACATAAAAATTAAATTTATTATTCATAAGTATCCCTGAAGTCTCTATGTTGCTTTTTTCTCTTTGTAAGAAATTATTTCTCACAGGCAAATAAGATCTAGTCCAGCAGTCATTTTCTATTCAGAAAAATATGCCCCACCTTACCATAATAGCCTGAAAGGGGCTAGTGACTGATGGATGAAGTTTCATAGTCATGTGCTTTGGCTAAGTAGCGTCTTTTATTGCAACACTGTTACACAAGTATTTTGGGTTTAAAGAAGAAATCACAAGTAATTTGTTTGGAAGTTTTGAGTTGGGGTTTTTATAATGTTTTTGTTTGAAATTTTAAAAGATGATGCAAAAGTATTAAATAAGAATTCTTGTACAGAAAATGTTGGATGTTTTGTACAAAGTGACTGAAAAATATGCTTTCTGTTTTCAGCGGAACTTTCAGGTTTGCTCTTTATAGGAGATGCAATTCTACAGGTGAGTAAAACTGCAAATCATTTTATCTGTATTTTTCTAGAAAAGTGAAATGAAATCTATGCTTATGAAATGTAGAGTAAGTCTTTTCTTTATCTTTTTAACAACAGATTAATGGAATTAATGTGAGAAAATGCAGGCATGAAGAAGTGGTGAGCTTTTCTGTTTTTTAGTCTACTTTTTTGTCTTTTGTAGCTGCTGAAATGATAGTGTATGCTGATAGCAATGCAGTGGCATCAGCTGTTTTATTGTTATTCCTAAATAAATATGCCTGTACCTTCTAGCATGACAAGTAACAAAGTGCAACCTTTCCTTCCTAAGTATGTGTGATTGCTCTTCTCAGATAGGCTTTTCTATATTAAAGGTGATTGTTTTATTATGAAGATTTGAGCTGTACAAATTCCAGCATTTCTTCTTCCAGCTAATAGCTGTCAAATTTCAGCAGTCCTACACCTTTCTGGCTGTGTGGGGTCATTTTAATTTCAAAAGCTGTAATTTGCGCTATGTTGGAGATTTGTTGTTCGGTTACTTTTAATCCTATTTAAAAATGGAGAGAAAACTGTCCATCTGCCGCTCATCCTCTGGCTGTTCCTTGTGAGGGTGCTCTTCTCCTTTTGTTAAGATGCTATCATTTTGGGTATAAAATAAAATTTTATTAAGGAGATTCCTTCTAAAGAAGAAATTTTGAGAGATCTGTTGTAGGCTGGTTCCACTGGTGAATCAGCTTTGCTAAATGCATCATGTACCTTTTAGCCATATTTTTCTTTGACTCTTCTTGTATACTTTCAGAAGCAGAAAACCCTTTATTTCAGAAAACAATGCCAAAAATTAAAAAAGTACCAAAGAAATTCCATTTAAATCCTATTTAGCTCCATAGCATTTGTATCTGTATTTTAAAAATAACATAGTACTGACATATTTGAAGGCTTCTCTTTCTTAATCTTTGCCAACTCAAGGACACTCATTGTGTTTCATCCAGCATTCTGCTCTGTGTCAGATCATCAAACATGTGCTATTCAGGTATAGAAAGCAGGAGTTAGCACAGGTGTAGTTCTGATGGAGAAGTTTAATGCAGGCTGAAAGATTAGATTACTGCACTCTTCTTCAGTGTTTTTGTTTATGCACACTTGTTTCCTTTTGGAGATCTACTGGAAATCCTGCTTCATTCCTCAGAGTTCATCATACCCCCTTCTGAATATACTGCTTAATAGTTGTATTTATATTGCTTTTAAGTTTTGTCTGTGCAACAATGATCAGGTTGTAAATGTTTTATGAGTTTACTGCAGTTGATCTGTTTAATATGCATTAATATGGCAAATCTCTCTGTGGGATTTAAATGTTAGAATTTAAATGTTGGAATTACAAAACATGAGAAAGATATTACTAAAAGAGTAGCCTTGTACACTCAAATGTGGATTGAAAATTAGTTAGGACATCAGGATTTTATTTTCTGTTTTCTGAGACATTCTCTAAACCCTCAAAATGATACATAAATCTGTTGGGTATTTATGATAAGGTTGAAACCCATTCACAGGAAGAAAAAAGGTTTTGGAAAAGCTGAAAGGGGGGGATTAACACAGAGTAGCAAGTGTTATCATGTTAAATTTTGATTTATACCTTACTTATCTAACATAATCTTCTTAAACTCCTTGTAGATAATACTCTATGAATTAAAAAAAAAAATAGTATCTTACCAGTTTTAAATGTGCATTTATGTATTTGCAAATGGTTTAGGAATTTAAGAAGCAAATAAGTTTTAAATTAAATCTTTATTTTAATTAAGAATAAGTTTTAATATTTAATAGCAAATATTGACTAATATTTAAATAGGATCAAATGTTCCTATGATATTTCATAAAATAAATTATACATAAGAGTTATAGATATATAATATAAATGAAAAAGCCAAAGTAAATGAACTCTGATAATCAGTTTTTTTCAGAAACATTCACTGTTATATGCTACGTGTTTATAGAGTAGATTTGTTGTAAAGCTGCAATAATGGTAATATATGTGATTCTGCATTGTTTGGTAACCTGTGGGTTTAGGCTTAGCCCTCAGTACAGAGTAAGTACATCAAATGGTGTGCCAGCAGGAGTCACAGGTAGGGTTTTGTCTGCAGCACGTCCTTTGCAGCTTGAGTTGCTCTAGGATTGCTGTCCTGTGGGGTCTCTATCAAATACAGGATCTGTAGCTTTAATCTCAAGGTAATATAGAGTAAATAGAAGTGTGTGGAGCCGAGTTGCTTGCAGCAGGGAGTTGAACAGGAGTTGAGACTTAATTTTCAATCCTTATTGCATCTAGGCACTTTTGCAATGGCTCCGCAGGATGCCTGAACTCGTAGCTTTGTTTAGTTCTGATTTTTTCTGTACCTAATTAAGGCTTAGCAGGTACAATGTTCTGTAAGGATATGTTAGTGTTTGGGTTGTCTTAGTGTCTTAGAAAATTTTCATTGTAAACCAGTGGGTAATTTTTTTCAGTCGGTAATTCTGAAGATACCTGTAAAAAATTCAGACTTGCATCTACAGTGTGACTCCGATGAGCATTTATTATTTTCCTACATGCAAAATGGGTTGCTGCTTGTGGAAACCTTTTAAGCATATGCCAAATCTACATAGCTCTGCAGTGAAAAAAATCTGTGGCATAATCAGTGCAGCCTATTGTATGAAACTGATGATTAGTCAACCCTGGTATTTCATCTTGTTTTACTGATAACCATGCTATGTATATAAAATGATTTGAGTTTCAAAATTATGTAGTTTATTCAAACTCATGGCATCTTTCATAGCAGAGAGAATTGTTCCCCAGTGTACAGTGATCTTAGTTGACGTTGGGAGCGCTTTGTTGTCTTTATTGTCTTTCATGACTTTTGAGATAGATAGATAGATAGATAGATAGATAGATAGATAGATAGATAGATAGATAGATAGAAATACAGACAGATGGACCCTAGATAGGTAGGTTTAGTCAGTTCTAAGTGTACCTTACTGGAACTCTTTATGTGGTTCCTTTCTGATTTTTTTTTTTTTTTTAGCTTTAGGTGAAACACTTAATCTTAAGCTTAGTTTTCTGCTAGTAGAAGGCGAAAATATTGTTCATACTATGAAAGCCCATGAGGAATTTCTGTCAAAGATTGACTGTCAACTTGTTGTTTCTCCTGGGTTTTAAAGAGCCCCATCTGAGTACAGCATAACACTGCTTCATTCTTAGTGCTCTTATGTGGTAAGGTAAAGACATGGTCTCTCTGATGTAGTGCCAATACAGGAGGAGGCTGCAGAAAAAAAAATAAACTATAGCAATTAATCACAAAAAATATCTGTCAGCATCTCTCAAACTGGCAGTTTCAGCCCAAAAAAATGCAATATGAACTTGTATGTAGAAGAAGAGTCCACTATATCTATTTAAATACACAACTTTGTGCTCTTTTTACTGAGGGTGTTTTAATTATTCCTTTTTTAGTAGACTCTCCTTTAAATTTTTCAACAAGAATTTTAAAAGGCTGAAATAATGAATATTCACAGACAGATCAATGAGTTTTGGCTTCTGTCTAATTAATATGGTCTAACAATGCATAGCTTGTCAGTCCACACACCTAGTGGATGTGGTTATACACCATAATAGATATCATTATTCTTAAGACTGGAAATTAATGTAGTTCTAGCTTTTAACTCCATTTATTGTCCAAACATAAAGATGGATAGAAAAGCACCAATATAATACTGTGGTATGGATGATTTTGGTGGTTCTGGGTCTAGCCACCATGTCACTAAAAATGGACAAGATTTTGGGAGAGAGTGAGTGGCTACAAGTAGGAGAGTATGTCAGTTCAGCTGGATACTACAAAAAACCTTGTGTTGGATCTACTGCTCAGGGTTGTAGTACACCAAATTGTCTAGAGCCAAGGTAGAATTCCAGCTGAATGAAAGCTGATGATTGAGTTAGTCTTTGTTCTTAATGTTGCGAATAAAACATCTCAGATAGTATCAATAACTATGGTTACATATATCTTGGATCTTAACATATGTTTTTTTCTCATAGGAAATAGAAGAAATTAAATGACTATGAATATGGAGTAATTTCTTATTTCTTCTATTTGGGGAACATTCAGGGAATGTTTCAAATGTAAAATGACTGCTCGCATGTGTCAGTTAATGTGGCATTTGGGCATTCCTTGAAAAGTAACAGGAAAAGCTCATGTAGTCACAGGTGGCTATAAAGACAGAGTAGATATTCAGGCTTTGGTGGATTTTATGTATTGGTACTACAATATGTAGACTGTGGTTCAATTCAGCCACTGCTTGCATTTTGCACAAGACACCATTTTTTCCAGAAGCATGACCTGATGTGAGACGTTCTCATGCACTGCATTGAATCTTTTGTTTCTCCCTTTTCTCAACATTCACAGCAGGGCTGTAACTGTGCTGACTCTCCATGAGTCATTTATGTTATATGGAAATGATAGTGTAGGGATTGTTGTTGCTTAACTGCAATCATCTGCAGCTAATGAAACTCTTACTCTGGCCTTTCTCTTTAAAACTACAGTCTCATTAAAACTGATTTTCAAAACTCATTATTAATAGTTTTGGCAATGCTTCTCATAAATGTTTTTAAGTGTAAGAATGAGCAAATTGTATTTTTAAGACAGGAAACCAAATGATCTGAAATATTACTCCATCTTGACCTTGTAGATGTGTCTTTTGGTAAATTACGGTTTTATCTTATCTTTGTTTCCTTAACTATGAAACAGAGACCTAGATTATTATCGGATTTAGCTCTCTGAATTTTATTAAGTACTTCTGAATCTGTTATAGAAAAGCACCTCTGCATTAATATTTTGCAGTTTCATGAACAACAACCTGCAAACACAGATTACCACTTTCTCATGTTGCAGAGATCTTGCACTTTATAACTCATGGCACAGCCATTTAATCCTTTCCCCTCTAGACAGAATGACGACTCTAAATGTGGAAGTTGCACAGTCAGTACTTCTAAGACTATAATCAATCTGCAGTTTTTAACTTCTGAATTTAAAAGTGAAATATAAACTTTCTGGAAATCCAATACTTTTACTCTTTCCATACAGCTGCTGTTTTCTCTCTAAGACTTGAGTAATTACAAAAATAATAATAATAGTATTAGTAAACTGATGTTGCCTTAGCTATCTTGGCATAATTAATGAAAATACCTGTTATTGAATATCCTAATGCTCATGGAATTTGAGCTAATAATAATCTGGCAAGTATTTCAGCACTGATTTGAAATAAGTGTCCATCAAGTGGAAAAGAACCTAGCAGCTGTAAATAGCCTGTTTCAGCTGTTTTCAGCTCTGTAGTGGAAATTCCTGGAATCTGGATATATCCTGAAGCAGTATTCCTAATGTGTGTTCATCTGCTTTTCTAATTTGGTTTTAGCTATGTTTTATTAGTGTTTAAACAATTTTTAAAATTGTGCCAAACTCTGTAAAAACTTGAATTTATTTAAGTACTATGATGTTAGACTTTTAAAATATTTCAGTATGCTGCTAGTCTTCCTAATTTATATTTTCATTTTTTTTTCTCAAGATACTTGTAGATCTATTAGTCATTTTATTAAGATTTCATCTTTTAAAACTACTTGTCATTACTGCTGAGTTTTAATAGAAGGGAGTAGAACATTCCGTCATGACTAATACCGAGCCTACATGATTAATATTGTTATTTCCTTATTACATAGCTACAGTCCTCAAAGCAAAAATCCATTATGGTTTAGCGGGAGAGTGAAAGATTGAATCACCAGTTACAGCACAACATCCTTCAAATAACTGTCCTTGGTTCCTCCTTTGTCATACAGGTCTATTAATTCTGAAAGCCTGAGCTGGAAAGAAAATAAACAGTTGAGGAGTGGATTTAAAATTTGTACCATCAAATATGCTTTGTTTGTGTCCTTGTTTACATTGATATTTTTACTGTAAAGGCTCAGGTTTCTCTGCTTCCTCAGGAAGCAAATAGAAATATTTTCATGTTTATTTGTACATGAGTACACTTCACCCTCCAAAAGAGTTTTTGAAATATTTCATTCTGCACAGCATCTCCCAGTTATGGAGTTAAAACCTCAATTACACTTTAGTTCAGGGACACAGTGCTTTTCTTTTTGGGCATAGCCTCCAAAAGGCAGAAAAATTAAACAGACACAAAACACTCCAATGTACTCTTAATGTAGGAAAAATGAACACTTCTATGGACATGGAAATTATCTTCTCTGGTCACTATTAAGAAGATTTCATTTACTCATAAAGACTAAAAATACTGTCCAACTGGAATCAGTTTTGTTTTCTTTAAAGAGATAACAACTATGTGATATAGAATGAAAGTAAATGTCCACCTCCAAAAGGCAACTTCTGTATTTCTCATGGCTTGTTGTGGACCAGAGAGAGAAGTGGGAAGACTGGAGCAGGTGTACTTATTTAACTAGCCAGGAGGAGTCACAAGTATGAGGCATGCTCAAAGAAGTACAAAAGTGCACACACGTAGTCTTCTGACAACTTTCCAGCAGTTAAAATACCTGATTTAACTATTCAGAAATCTCATTGTTCTGCCTATAGTAAAATTAGTTGGGTTCCAGGGAAAAAAAACCTATTAATCCAGGGGTTATCTAACACCTGTGCACATTTTTAGGTCTTTTTTTTCTCTACATTGGGTCTTTGTCTTTTGACAGTTTGTTCGGTGGAGGAGGAAGAGGAAAGGAGAATGGACTCTATATAATTTTTCAATAGTATCCAGTGTTGGCCTGTTCCAGCCAGATACATGGAGGTTTCCAGATGGCCCACCCCATACTTCTCAACACTAGTATGGTACAGTATGGTACTGGTGTTTTGGTATCTGTTTGTCAGCACTGGGCCTATTTCTGGATTTTAATTTTTTTTAAATTTTGCCCTGATAGTACTGATGCTGTTATACAAGTTCAGTTTGGTACTACCTATTTCTTGTTAGCTGGTTTGAAAGACTGTGACTAGTAAAACGGCTTGCAATAGTAAGAGTTTCATAGGTCACAAGAAGAACTTCTGTGAAGGTTTGGTTACTGAGAGAAGCTCTTCAGTAAAAATTACAACAGTTACACGTTCTCTAGATTTTTGTGCAGACACCTGCAAGAGTTACCTCCCTGTGCTGTTAATACTTTCCTGAGCAAAATGGGAAATATTCACTCCTCAGGCTGAATTGGCATTGCCAGGATAATGACATATATCTTTAAATGTGATCTAGGAAATGTTCATAGCTCTATTCCACTTCACTTGCCCTTGTCAAGCCAGTAGTGATTGAGAGCATTTAACAGATTCTAATTGTGCTGACCTGTTAAAAGGAATGTTCAAGGGATTGTTCTACATCAAAAAACTCCCATATTTAAGCATTGACTTGCAGTAGGAAGTAATAAGAATGTTTCTAGATTTTCTGAAATGCTTTCCCTTCTTAGAGTATTGTGAGTATGAAGTAAGTCTATGGTAAATTAATAGACAGGCATGTTTAACAAAATCTCCACCATTTCTCAGATGTCTTGAGGTTCTTTTAAAATTTTAAATTCAGTCATCTTTACATGGAAAATCAAATACAAAACATATTCAAAGTCCCCTCTGCAATTCAGGTCCTGTGTGATTTCTGAACCAGTGACTGTGGAGAAATGTTGGTGACAGCTAAAGTTTAGCATAATGAATGCTAACAAATAAAATATTTTGTTTAAATATCCATCACCACGAAAGATTGCAAGTTTTAGAAGATTGTATAAAGCATCTTTCCATCAATCAGTAAGTGAGGTTTTAGGGTAAAGTGAATCACCTGCACAATAGCAGCAACAAATTTGTAAAACAAAGTTTTCTTTTTTCTTTTTTATTTTATTTTTTTTCCCAATCAAAACACTTGGAGCTTTGTAAATTGAAAGCTTTAAGACATTTACATTTTTTATTTTACTTCTACAGCTACAGCTTTTAATATCCAGGATCTTTATATCTCAACAGGAAAGTGATATCTAAATGGGAGCATGCTTTGTTGAGTCAAAGCATCTGTTCATTAGATATCATGGAGCTGTGTAGCATCAGCAGTGTTTTTCTTATTTTCTGAATTTTTATAGAATATGAGAGCACAGAGAAATTTGTAAAACTGGAGTTATTAAGGTTTGAGGGGTTTGGACTTTCTAAAAGTGAGGCCTGTAGTTTGTGCATTCATTTGTAATATTCTGGCATAATAACCTAGCAACGAGGTAATAGAATTATACAAATCATTGTGGTTTTCTTTTATTGTTGATGTTGCAAATTTTGTTTCAGAGAACACATTCACTCTATATAATAGTCTATAAATTATTGTTTTTATAAGATTTTGTAGTCTCAAATGGTAATTAACTGCTGGCAAGAATGGATTTCTGTGGTGTTATTCCTTAATTAAGAAAATAAGAGAAGGTAAAATAAGGGTTGCAATCAGATAAGTAGCCTAATCAGTTTTGATTAATAGACCAGATTTATGCTTAATTTTGAAAGTTACAAAGACCTCATGCCATAAACTGATTAAAACTGTAATTCAGCAGTTTTTTGTCATTGTGCTGAAATACAAATTATCTTTTATACTTTTTTGGAATTGTATGCTAATCTTTTTTGTTTCCAAAATATCTATCAATGTTCTCCAGTTAATTAAAATACAGCATGAGTACCTCCAAATCCAGTTTTGCCTTTCAAATTTAAACACTGATGAAAATTATCTTAAAAATATTAAGGAAATATGATTTCTGAAATTTTGAAATTATAATTATATTGGATCTCAGTTCAGCAGAATATGTGTGTATTTGCCTAAAATTATGAATTTACATATTTTATTAATTTGGGGACTTCCTTTTTTATAAATATTTTTGAAGAACAAAGTAATTTTCTCAACTTCAACCAGATGCAGTGTAATTAATCTGGAGCAGAAAAACTACCACTACATTAAATGGCATAAAAATATGTTACAGAATCACAGAATTTTTATGTGTTCTCAGCTGAGAACTTTTCCCACTGGGCACTTTCCCTGAATATTAAAATATCTTACTCAGAGATTAGATCCTGAGCAGCTGAGAAGCTTAGCAGAATTAACTGCTTATATTGATCTAAAACATTACTTCAAATACATATTTTTCCAGGAATTTCTTTTTTCTCATATTGAGGTTGATAAAATTTGAAACTGAACAAATAGGAGTAGGTTTGTAGAGTACTATTTATTCAAATATAGAATTAGAATTTGATTTCCAACTCTTTAGGACCACTTTTTATTCATTTTTCATGAGCATTTATATTCTGGTGCTTGATTAATGTGACTATTCATGGAAAGTATGTGTTAAGGTCATATTTGCCAACAGCAAATTTTATATTGAATATGTAAATGTGAAATTTGCTACTAGCTGTGTGTTTGACCTGAGCCTTGCAATGGGATTAGTGTGAGCAAACTCTTGTTCTGGGAATGATCTTTCTTTTTTCCCCCAGACCCAGACTTTAAATCCAAGTTATTGTCTAGTTTCTGTCATGGTTTACTAGGAAAAAAAAAATTCCACTTTTTACTTTGTTCTGATTTTTACCCTTTCTTAAAAAAAGAAGTTTAAAAAGCAGCACTTCTGTATGAAGCTTTTTTTTTTTTTAGTATAATGTGTTCTAGCCAAAGAAAAATACATATCCATTCATATGAGGGTTTCTAGTGCTCTTCATTCCAATTGTAACTGGGTAAGTCTAGGAATCATGCAGATAAATGGAAAATTGGTTTTTATTATGTAAATACTGATTATTTTTATTATGTAACATTGGTAATGTCTTAAGCTTTTTGCTATATTTTGTATTTTATGTGACTTTTGTATAGGGAGTGGAGAGTCATAAGTACTAGGTCATTCTTCTAAGGTTTTTATGGGTAATTGCTGACATGGCTTTTGGTTTTGAGAGATGATATACAATGTTTTTATTCTATTCAGCTCATGATTATGTGCTGGATTATGTTATGTTCTCTTACACTGTTGGATAGATCATGCATTATGCACTCTATTTTTTCCTAGAATACTCATTGCATTATCATGCATTGTATGCTGTAACACTTGCAGGTCACAAGCCAAATCTTAATATTCTACATAACAGATACTGATATTATTGCCTGTTGTGCTGGTTTTCACATTTCATTTATGAGTAATTTAATGACTGAATCTCTGACCTGTATACAGCACAGAGTTTATTTGTCTGGGGCAGCTTTTATGACCAGAAAGCATTATTCCTATATAGTCTCTCATTTCTTTGATGTTGATGGATGGTAATCTAAAGCTGGCTTAAATAGATATTGGGGAAATCTGTGATGTGATATTTAGTTGGTGTATTTTATACATACTTTAAAAAATCCTTTTTTTTTTTTTTTTTTTTTTTTATTCCAAGAGAATGGGTTTTATCAAATTTCTGTGCTTTCATTTAAAGATGATTTTTTTGATCTCTTACTATCTGAAACTCTTATTAGAGAATATTACCACCAAAAATTGGTTGGTAGCCTACAAATAATTAGTAAATTACAGTTCTGGCTTATGTTCAACACTTTATATTATATTTATATTATAAAATCCACTAAAATGATACTATTTGTATGAGTAAAAAAGATTGATTACACAAGGGTTTTGTGCAGATATGATGAGTAGGAAGAATTTCTGCATATTGTCTAAGTATTAAAATATGGCCTGCTTAAAAGAAGAAAATCTTTGAATTTTTATGTCATGCATCTTTGAGGGTAAATGTGCAAAGCCTCTGGAGTCTGCTTAAAATGTGTTACAGGTGCTACAGATGTTGACAACTTTTCCTGAATATTCTCCATAATTAACTGAAAGGGGAAAAAAATGCCCAAACAACATTGTCAGCATAGTCTTCCATCATGGTTGCTTTCCAATTATTATGAAGTCCAAAAAACTTGTGTCTTAATTAATATATCCTCTGTAGACTGATGGGAAAGCCAGTCATTCATCTGGCTGTATACACCACTGCCCACATGATGCTGTGCAAACCTGTGGAAAGCTGTGTAGAAGTCAGCAGGTGCTGTTGCGACACCAGTGTAAATTCTTCTCCCATTTTTGTAGGAGTTTTTTTGCTTAAGTGGTTCACACATTTCTCCCAAAGAAGTTTTAGTCAACAGCTGTTTTTGACAATGTCAATTAAATTGATCCCAAACAAAATCTGGCTCCTGTGTAAATTTCTGAGCTTTGCTTACTGACGTATATACAGTTGTAATGAAAGTGTGTTGTATGTGAAGATGAGACATACATGTAAATCAAACGAGTTGAAACCAGAGTTAGGTTTGTGGATTTATAACATTTGGTGGGGTTGAGCAGGTTGCCTAAATAGAAGTGGGGATTTTGTAAGTGCCATGAAGTTATAATACACAGTTAGAATCACACATCACACAGAATCACTAGGTGGGCAGAGACCTTGAAAATGATTGAGTGCAACCCAGCCCTAACACTTCAACCAAACCATGGCACTAAGTGCCACATCCAGTCTTTTTTTAAACACATCCAGGGCTGGTGACTCCACCATCTCCCTGGGCCTACCATTCCAGTACTTTATCACTCTTTTGTAAGAAAGTTTTTTCCTAGTATCCAGCCAATATTTACCTTGGCTCTGCTTAAGACTGTATCCTCTGGTTCTGTCAGTTGCTGCCTGGAGAAAGAGACCACCCCTCACCTGACTACAATCACCTTTCAGGGAGTTGTAGAGACTGCTAAGGTCACCTCCGTGTCTCCTTTTCTCCAGGTGAAACACCCCCAGATCTCTCAGTTCTTCCTCACAGGGTTTGTGTTCCAAGCTCCTCACCAGCCTCGTTGCCTCCTCTGA